TCTGTTTATGCTGAGGGGCGGGGGAGGGCAATGGCACCTGACAGTTCTTTGTTCCAGGAGGGTCTCTCCGTGAATGCTGCCTCTCTGGTACACACTCCCAAGATGAGCAGATAACCTCCCCACTATGTGCTCCAGGCGCACTTCAGATTGCTGCTTCCACGCTGTGTGTCCACAGGCGGTTTGCCCTCCCTTCTCTCTGAGAACAGTCGTGATGTCTCCAGGCTCTGCCTGAGCCAAGCCCACTGACCTTTAAAACGACAGACTTTCAGCCCTGCTTGTTGCAAGAACTCCCGAAATGTGGCCCCTCTTTCTTTCCGAGCCCATGGCTACGGGGATTCGTTTTCCCGCTGTGCTCCCTGTGTGTTAATCTGTCTCTCACGCTTCTCCACAACCATGGCTCCCTCTTCCCCACTGAGGCCACGATCTGTTTCTCTCCGAAACCGAATCTCCCCACTTCCTGACTTCATCAGGGGGGCCACTTCTCTACCTTTATTTGTTTGAGCTATTTGACAGGTTGTGTTCAGGTCAATTTCTGGGGTATTTAGGATGATTTCATAGTGTTGGATTCGTGGGAAGAGGCGAGCTTAGGGTCCTCCTACTCTTGCCACTATCTTCCCCTGTCTCCAAGAAGGAAGTGATTCTTGATGTCACCCTCCTAACAGTCCTCTCTGACCCCAGCCACTTCCCCCTCAAATCTCTCTGCTGAGAGAATAATCTATTTCCAAGACAAAAGGGATCTTACCCTCCCTTCCTCAAGGCCTTTGCTGCTTTCCTGTTGACTTGCAGATAAAACTGGGACTCACATCACCATAGGTTGAATCCTGCCCACCTGCTTATCTGTTGCTGCCTCTTATTTGTATTCACTCCCATCATGGCATTTGTTCTCTTGAGGTTTTCCAGTGATTCTGCTTCTCTTGGGCTAGTAGAACTCAGTCATGCCCCACAGCTCAGCAAAAGCCATGTTTATGTAGAACCTGCTCTGTGGGCCTTGGGGGGACCCAGAGGACGACCCTGTACCTTACTCTGCCAGGTAGCAATGTGTAATCACCAGACTGTGAGCAAGTTGGGAGTGGGTAATTGTATCTCTCTCTTTTTTAATTTTATTTATTTATTTGAGAGAGAGAGAGCGTGAGAGAGCATGAACAGGGTGAGGGGCAGAGAGGGAGAAGCAGACTCCCTGCTGAGCAGGGAGGCGGATGCAGGGCTTGATCCCAGGACCCTGGGATCATGACCTGAGCCGAAGGCAGACGCCTAACCTACTGAGCCACCCAGGCGCCCCAATTGTAACTCTCTTAGTGAGGTTTCCATAAGTGTTCAATGAATTAATAAACTCATTTATTTAACGAAGAATTTATAAATTAGCCTGTCTAATGCTAATTATGTAGGCAGTGAGCTGGTTGTTATTCTGAATATTTTGGTGGGCACATTATGTGGATTTTGTAACAGGAGTCCATGTAGGCACTGACTTTGAAAAGCAGAAATCACCTTCCTAAGATGGTAGTTTTAAAAATCCAGAGGCTCTTCTCTCTCTTCTCCTCCTTCTTCCCCTCCACCTGCTCATGCTCTCTCTCTAAAATAAATAAGTAAAATCTTTAAAAAAGAAAAGGGGGCACCTGGGTGGCTTAGTCGGTTAAGTGTCCAGTTCTTGATTACGGCTCAGGTCATGATCTCGGGGTCCTGGGATTGAGCCCTGCATTGGGCTTGGCGTGTAGTCTGCTTGGGATTCTCTCTCTCTCTTTCCCTCAGCACCTCCTCCCACTTGGGCTCTCTATTTCTCTCTAAAATAAATAAATAAAATCTTAGAAAAAAAATCCAGAGGCTCTTTTCCTCCCAAAGATGACCTTGATCTTGCAAATATTATGAAAGACTCGGAGAAAAAACTTGGAAATAAAACCCCTGCTCTCCGAATCCTCCCAGTTGGGATCAGCCTCAAAATTTTACAATTCAGGGGTGCCTGGTGGCTCAGTGGGTTAACTGTCCAACTCTTAATTTCTGCTCAGGTCATGATCTTGGGGTTGTGAGGTGGGCCCCACGTCAAGCTCCATGCTGAGTGTGGAGCCTGCTTAGGATTCTCTCCCTCTCTCTTCCTCCCTCTCAAAAGAAAATTTTTTTTACAACTCAAGGAAATCTTAGACCAACTAGTCTGCTCTTTCCATATGCCTCTGCCTGTCTCCCTGATGGTATGTTCATTCATCAAGACATTGACACTGACTGCTGAGTGTCTCCTGAGCACTTTCTGTTACAAGCACTGTTTCAGGTGCTTGAGATATAAAGCTGAGTAGGTATTAATTACAAGATTGGTTTACCAATTATCCCCCTTCCCCCAGAGGTGACGGAAAGTTGTCCCTGCAGAACACTCTTAATGAGCAGAAGTTGGACAAATAGAGTCAGAACAAAGTGAATCACAGATCCCAAAAGCGTATTTCTTCCAAGATTGGGAAGTTTTCCATTGCCCTTTTCCATACTAGGGTTCTTGTATCTGAAGATGGAGGAATAACTAATAGTAATTAACTAATAAGTAATAAATTAACCAACAGTTAACCATCTCTTAACCAGAGTTGTATGTTCAATTTCCACCCTCCCCAGAATCAGAATCCTACCCTGAGAGCGATAAGGAGAACTTGTATTCAGGCCACCAGTGTGTTTGGGCGGGTCGTTCACTGCCCAGAGGCGCTCAGCTGGAAGGGGCTTGGTCTCGGGAATCTAACTCATGCTCTGCATGCAGCCGCCCCGAGGAAGGGGTTCCTTGGCTGTTCCATGTAAAGCAGCCATGCGAGAAACTTGTATCGAATGTTTAAGCTGCCAGACGCTATTCCAAATGTCTGACGTATAGTCACTTAGACTTACTACCCTTCCCCTGAGGTTGGTAATATTATTGTTGTCATTATTATTATCTCCAGTTTTAGCTTGGGCTTTGAGACACAAAGTGATAGCAAGTTGGGGATGCAGTATTCACATACTGGTGGTCTGATTCCAGAGCCTACACCCTTCACTGCGCTGTTCTCTTCTCCCTCAAGCAGATCCTTTGGCTTCAGAGTCCACTCCCTGTTTCCCTGTCTGTCATCCCTAGCTCTCAGCTCTCGTTTCTCTTTCTGTGGGACCTTGGAGTCCCATGTGCGTATTTTTGTCTTCAGAAGTAGCAGAGAGGCAAGATCTAGAATACCGGTTCTGGTGTGAGCTGGATTCCAGTTCCACCCATGTGTCTTGACCTCATCAAGCCTCAGCTTCCTCATCTATTAAATAGAAGCCACAGTCCTCATCATCACTGATTGAGAACTTCCTAAAATGCCAGGTACAGTGCCAGGGGAATTGCATGGATTAGCTCATTTATTCCCCCACAATAATCCTCTGACTGAAATTCCATTTTTATCTCCTTGTTATAGCTGAGGACGGGCACAGAGGTGTAGGCGATTGGACCGAAGTCACACTAGTGTGACATAGCTTCGTCACAGGTACGTAGGCGGTACCTTCACGAAACTGTGGACCAGGTGCTTCATAGGGTCCCCAACATGTACTTGGTGCTCAGTTAATGCCACCCATTGCTGTTTTTGTTGTTTTTAATCATTTGCTACGATTATTGTACCTCGTTAGTTTGAATGACATAATGGCAATGATTACCTAACTTATGGGTAAACAAATCTTGCAGAGTCACAGGTTTTTATTAGTTTTTCTTCATCTTCATGATAGAGTCTTTTCAAGGCCCTGCTGTTAACAAGAGTAAATTTGGCAAGGTCTCATATCTTTAAAAAAACAGTCATCTGTAAAAAACAAAATAAAACAAAAAAGCCCACAGGTTTCCATATAGTCAAATTCACAGAGAGACAGTAGAGTAGTGGTTACTAGGGGCCAAGGGGTGGGCTGATGGGGAGCTGTTGTTTTATGGGTACGGAGTTTTAGTTGAGGATGGTGAAGAAGTTCTGGAGATGGGTGGTGGTGATGATGGCACAGCAGGAGGAATGCACTTAATAAACTGTACGCTTAATGGTTAAAAGGGTAAATTTTTTTTTAAGATTTTATTTATTTATTTGACAGAGAGATAGTGAGAGCAGGAACACAAGCTGGGGGAGTGGGAGAGGGAGAAGCAGGCTTCCTGCCTATCAGGGAGTCCGATGTTGGGGCTTGATCCCAGGACCCTGGGATCACGGACCCGAGCTGAAGGCAGATGCTTAATGACTGAGCCCCCCAGGCGCCCCTAAAAGGGTAAATTTTATGTTATGTTCATTTTACACAGGAAAACAAGTCATCCATGTAATCTCACATGTTATTGCAAAGATATCCCATTAAGTGTGACAGACCACGAAAGAATAATATATTTCAGAGGTTAAAGGGGATTTTCATATGACAGAGCGACAGCCTCTAAAGGCTCTGTTGATAGAAACCATTTATGAGGACAGGTTTTATGTTAGTGAATATTACCTGCTCTTCTACAGCTACTAAGAAATAAGATACCCTGGAAGTGTTCCGTGTGCTTGCACCTGCTGATTTAATTCTTAAAACAGTCCTATGAAATAGGCACTGTTAATCCCTCCATTTTTACAGATTAAAGAATTGAGGCACAGAGACATTAATAATTTGTCGAAGATTTCACAGCTAATAAGTAGCAGTACCGTAGACCTAAAACATTTGGCCCCAGCGATTACTCTCTCAACCTGGGTACTTTACTCTCGATGTCCACCCTCCCTAAAATCAGATTCATACCGTAAAAGCGATAAGGAGAACTTGGGGTAGGGGCACCACGTGTGGTTGGGCAGGTTGTTCATTGTGCACAGGCTCTCGGCTGAAGGGGTCAGTGGTCTCAGGAGTCCAGCTCAGAGCACTCTGCTTGTCAAGCCCCCTGAGGAAAGGACACCATTTCTATTTGATGTAAAGTGTGAAATATGGGTAGTGATGTTAGCCATATGGGTTAAGGACAGTCTTGGCCAGACTCTGATGGCTTTTTTTCTCCTTCCCCTTTTGTGCCTTCTCAGGACTCAACCCTTTCTTAGAAGGACGAGGACAAAATGACCAAGTTCAAGGTGAGTTGGGCTTCCTTTCCAGATTTTAAACCATTGTCTCATTTCTCAGTGATTAGATGCTTTCTTGAAACAATTAAACAGAATAGCAGGCATTTCAAAACCTCTTCTGTGCCAGAGGATCACTGCTTTTTATTTTAGTGTAGTTTAATTTTTGTTGTTTTAATTTACCCGTTTATAATTTTCACAGATAAATTGGAAAAGTCAATAGCAGTGGAAACCCCCCCACTTTACTACTGTTTTCCTTATAAAAACTGTTTTCATTTCCCCATGTTTTTTTCCTCATATGCATTCATAACTGTATATTTGTAATAGTTACATAGTTAAAATTTTCAAATTACGCTTTTTCTTTTTTTTTTTAAGATTTTATTTATTTATTTGATAGAAAGACACAGCGAGAGAGGGAACACAAGCAGGGGGAGTGGGAGAGGGAGAAGCAGGCTTCCCACTGAACAGGGAGCCCAATGTGGGGCTCGATCCCAGGACCCTGGGATTATGATCTGAGCTGAAGGCAGACGCTTAATGACTGAGCCACCCAGGCACCCCTCAAATTATGCCTTTTCTAATTAATTGATACTATATTCCCTACATTTTTAATGGCTGCATCATATTTCCTTAAATTGATGTACTCTGTGTGTTTCTCACAACTTTTGCCCCATTCATGGACATTTAGGTAGTTCAGAATTTTTTTTTAAGATTTTTTTTTTTTTAAAGATTTTTTATTTATTTATTCATGAGAGACAGAGGGAGAGAGAGAGAGAGAGAGAAGCAGAGGGAGAAGCAGGCTCCTAAGGAGCAGGGAGCCCGATGCGGGACTCGATCCCAGAACCCTGGGATCATGACCTGAGCCAAAGGCAGACGCTTAACCATCTGAGCCACCCAGGCGCCCCTTTTTTTAAGATTTTTATTTGAGAGAGAACGAGCAGGGAGAGGGACAGAGAGAGAGAGGGAGAAGCAGGCTCGGAGCCCAGTGTGGACTCGATCCTAGGACCCCGGGATCATGACCTGAGCTGAAGGCAGACGCTTAACCCACTGAGCCACCCAGGCATCCCTAGAATTTTTATTATGTTAAAGAACACTGTTGTGATGAGCACCGGGTATTATATGGAAGTGTTGAACCACTAAACCATACACCTGAAACTAATATTACACTGTATGTTAACTAACTGGAATTTAAATAAAAGCTTAAAAAAAAATAAAACCAGGAAAATGAAATTATAATAATTTCTGATTTTGATATACTTAAAAAAAATTATTGCACTAACAGTTTTCCTAAGGTAACCACTTTCCTCAAAAAGGAATTTGGAAGAGTTTGCTATTCTTTGTTCTTAATGTTTTAGGAATCTAAATGAAAAAGTATACTTGATAGGCAGTACCTTGGGGATTTTGTACATAGAACACTCTGATATGGCCTAGTGCAGCCAGGTATAACTGATGCATCACACAGAGAAAGTATTCTTCCATATTTTCCCATAAGAAAACTAGATTCCTTTTTTTTTTTTAAGATTTATTTATTTATTTTAGAGAGAAAATGAGCTGGAGGGGCAGAGGGAGAGGAAAAGAGAGAATCTCAAGCAGACTCTATGCTGAGCAGGGAGCCCGACGAGGGGCTAGATCTCATGACTGTGAGATCACCACATGAGCCGAAACGAAGAGTCGGATGCTTAACCAACTGTGCCACCCAGGCACCCACAAAGCTAGAGTCTTTCCAACCTATGTCTGAGTCCTATCATGTGCATGTGTTATTTACTGATTTATATGTGTATATTTTAAATATTTGAGAGAGAGAACAAGAGGGAGAGAGCGAGAGAGCCAGCATGAGGGGCAGAGGGAGAGGGAGAAGCAGACTCCCCACCGAGCAGGAAGCCTGACGCAGAGCTCCATCCCAGGACCCTGGCGTCATGACTTAAGCTGAAGGCAGATGCTTAACCAACGAAGCCACCCAGGCGCCCTGATTTATATTTTTTGTTTACGTATTGATTTATTTTTATGAAAGTAATAGTGTTCTTAAATTTAAAAGTCTAGTAGTACGGGAAGACCTACTGATGCTTTTCTTACTGCATTTAGTTTCCAACCAACCTTAAGAGGCAGTACTTGGTCGCCTCTGCATGTTAATTCCAAAGAAACAGGATTGTAGAATTTTAGGAAATTCTTTAGGTTCACACAAGAAACCAAAGGTCCAACTGATCCAAAAAGACTCCTAGGAGTTTTACTTGGATAAAGAGGGAGGCAAGGGAAAATAATTCTTCTCGGGGCCTTAGCCCTTTCTGTGTGTGCTTAGTTGCTGTCGTTCGCAGAAGACACCACAGATAATACTGCCTCTTCTTGGTCACTGTTTGGTGGCTCCTTCTTTAGGATCTGTGTTGCTCATTCAGGGCACCTGGATGTGCAGGGCTCCCGCAATGAACACACAGTTTCCATATGAAAAAGTTAAGACTGTACTGTACACCAGCAATTCTTAATCATGGGTAATTTTTGCCTCCAGGCAATGTCTGGAAACATTTCTGGTGTCACAACTTGAGGGAGGCGTCAGCATCTGGTGCATAGAAGCCAGGGCTGCTGCTAAACATCCTACATTGTAGGGGACAGCCCCCCCCCAACAGACAGTTATCTGGCCCAAAACGTGAGTGGTGTCAGGGTTGAGAAACCATGCCGTACACAAAGCTATACACGAACAATAGCAAAATGTGGGTGGTGATACTTACATATGTTTAAAAAAAAAAAAAGCTTAAAGTCTCTAATAGAAATTTTACAGAGTGATAAAATAAAACCTGATTGGAATATGAGCAAAGAACATTGACTGGCAAGGTACTAAAGAAGAAATAAAGATAGCCAGAAGATATATGAAAATGTGATAGTTTATTAATTATCAGATAAGTATAAAATGAAAATAAGTTGTTTTTTACTGATCAGATCACATAGGACTTAAAAACATTGGTTATATTCAGTGTTGTGTGTGGTGTGGAGAATCAGGGCTACTTATATTCTCTCAGGGGAGGGGTGAAATACAGAAAAAGTTGAAAAGGAAACCTGCCATCCTACATAGTAATTTTGAAGTGGCATATCCTTTGATATTGCAGTTTTTCCTTCTTAGAACTCATTCTAAGAAAATAATTAAGACAGGAGGCTAATATTTATTTAAAAGTTGTTCTTGGGCACCTGGGTGGCTCAGTTGGTTGAGTGACGGCCTTCAGCTCAGGTCATGATCCTGGAGTCCCGGGATCGAGTCCCGCATCGGCTCCCTGCTCAGCGGGGAGTCTGCTTCTCCCTCTGACCCTCCCCCCTCTCATGCTTTCTCTCTCTCTCTCTCTCATTCTTTTTCTCTCAAATAAATAAAAAATCTTAAAAATTGATTTCGGTCTCTTAGAATCTGAAGCTACTTCCTACACATCCCTTCCAGTTTTCTCAGTGCTCTTTCTCCCAGCAGCCATTGGGCTCAAGATTGAGGTTGTGTGTGCTTGATGTTGTAGGAGACAGTGACATTCAAGGACGTGGCCGTGGTCTTCACGGAGGAGGAGCTGGGGCTGCTGGACCCCGCCCAGAGGAAGCTGTACGGAGACGTGATGCTGGAGAACTTCAGGAACCTGCTCTCTGTGGGTGAGCACAGGCGCCCTGTGGACTTCAGCCCCCTGCAGTGTTTATTGTATCCTTGGATGTGTGGAGCTTTGGAGCTCTTGAACTGTATGGCATTTTTCTGGCCTTTTGCCTCTCGTCAAAATATGTTTTGTAAATGAGCCGTAAATTGACTCGATGACTGCTCTGTATACATTTTTGGCCTTTCTCAAGTTGTGGTCATCTCTGATTAGTGGGTCATGACACACATTTAGGGCACGGTACCAGCATTTTTTTTTGTTGCTGTTGAGAGAGAGAGAGAGAGAGAGAGTGCACGTGTGCATGTACAAATGAGGAAAGAGGCAGAGGGAGAGGGAACGAGAGAATCCCAAGCAGGCTCCATGCTGCCTGACGCAGGGCTCAGTCTCACGACCCTGAGATCATGACCCGACCCAAAATCAAGAGTAGGATGCTTAATTGATTGAGCCACCCAGGCGCCCCGGGTACCAGCATATTTTATTTTATTTTTTTTTATTTTTTAAAAATATATTTATTTATTTATTTATTTATTTATTTATTTATTTATTTGTCAGAGAGAGAGAGAGAGAGAGAGAACACAAGCAGGGGGAACAGCAGGCAGAGGGAGAAGCGGGCTCCCCGCTGAGCAAAGAGTCCAATATGGGACTCGATCCCAGGACTCTGGGATCATGACCTGAGCCAAAGGCAGATGTTTGACTGAGCCACCCAGGCGCCCTGCAGTACCAGCATTTTTAATGAAATAAAATAGGGTAGAAAATAATCAGAGCCGGGGCGCCTGGGTGGCTCAGTTGGTTAAGCGTCTGCCTTCGGCTCAGGTCATGATCCCAGGGTCCTGGGATTGAGCCCCACATCAGGCTCCCTGCTCAGCGGGAAGCCTGCTTCTCCCTCTCCCACTCCCCCTGCTTGTGTTCCTGCTCTCGCTATCTCTCTGTCGAATAAATAAAAAAAATCTTAAAAAAGAAAAAAGAATCAGAGCCTTTGGCAATAACTGCACATTGCAGCAAAAACTACAGCCTGTTGCTGAAAATCGTGTGAGAAATGGTGGAAAGAGTCTGAAGAAAACAGACCTTTTTTCCCAGTAATTTACACTGAATGCCTACATATCCTGGATTTTTGCATCAAACGTAGTCTTCTGATGGGTCATAATTAACAGTTTGGAAATCACTAATTTTGATGTCCTACAGATGATATGGTAAGAACCACATTTTTAGTAGTTTAGTAATTTTAGTAATTTTTAGTAATTCTAAATGTTTGTCCTTGCCTTTTGACAGGGCATCAACCCTTCACCCCAGATGTAATACTGCAGTTTGAGAGGGGAGAAAAGCTTCGGATGATAAAGACAGCAGCCCAGGGCCCCTGTGCCTCAGGTGAAAGCCGTGCGGCTGAGTCGGCCATGCTTCCTGTCGGCCTCCACAGCAGTGCCGCGCCTCTGAATTCTGCAGCAGTTTCTCACTCTCTCCCTCCCCTCCTTTGCTCTTTTACAGTCATTCTCCACTCGAAGTGATTCTTCTGTATGTCTGTCAGCTCCTGTCCTCTGCTTGAATCTCTAGTAGCTTCTTATCTGATTCAGAGTAAAAGCCAAGTACTTAAAGTGGCTTTCGGTGCCCCAGCTGCTCCTTACTCTTCCCCCATCCTTCCGCACATGTTACCTATCACTTGCCCCCATGTCAGTCTGTCCCATCCAGTTTTGCCGCTCTGCTCTGCCCTGCCACCCATGGCCCTGCCTCATCACCCTCTCTCTATTTGTTCTTCCTTCTCTCAGGAGTGCCCTGTCTCTCTGTCATCCTCTTGGCCCTTCCCTTACTTCACGTAGGTCTCTTCTCGAATCATAACATCATAAGAAAGACCTCCCATGACCACCCTGTTCATGACCCCTTCTTCCCCCATTCTCCTTTCCCTTACCCTGTCTGATTTGGTGTCTAGGCATTCATCACCACTCACCATATTAACATATTTTTGTTTATCTCACTGTATTCCTGCTAGAATATAATTATCAGGAGGGAAGAAATTCTGTTTTCTTTATTGCTATATCTTCAGTGTATAAACAGACTTGGCAGAGGACAGATGTGCTATAAATACTTGTTGGATGAATGAATGAGATAATAATGGTTTTACATGGACTTTTTTTCATTAGTTGTGGACATACTAAATGGGTGATAAACAGAAATGTGTGATAAAGGCATAGTCCAGAACAGCACGCCCTATCCATGATTATCTAATCCTAATTTATCAGGTGCTTTTTGGGTACAAGTAGATATGTATCCATTAAACCACATCTAGAGGTGCCTGGGTGGCTCAGTCGGTTAAGCATCCGACTCTTGATTTCAGCTCAGGTCATGATCTCAGGGTTGTGAGATCAAGCCCCACATCAGGCTCCTCGCTGAGCATGGAGCCTGCTTAAGATTCTCCCTCTCGCTCTGCCCCACCCCCCCACTGGCTCTCTAGAGCATTCTCTCTCTCTCTTAAACAATTCCCCACATCTAATGAAAGCTTAACTTTGCACTTGTAACCAAGTTGAATATCCTTTTCCCTCTGTGGCTTTTCTGCAGTCTTTAGTAGTGAATCATATGGTCTTGGTGAAGAACGACTTTTTGGAATAAAGATTCTGATAGCCACTTTTTTAGGCAGGTCTCCTATTAAAGAAAATACACTTTATCAGGAAAGAAAAATTCTCAGGTAATAACTGGCTGTCATGTTAGTCTTTCCCTTTGAAGATTTTCCTCATGGCAGCCACCCACCTCTTCCAAAGAGTTACGGAAAACATTGTCACCTACCGTCATCTGTGTGTGTGTGTATGGTTCTAGCAAGTATTTTATCCAGAGAAACCTTTACTTCTGAAGCACCTCTAATATTGTCCTGTTAATGCTTGTCATAAGCCATTAAATTTATTTCAGACTCATGGAGTCCCAACCTGTAACTTGGAAAACTGGTGTTGTCCATACAAGAACATGTTTCTGTATCCATCAGTTTGACAGCCTGCTCTCAGAGACATTATTCCTGAGGCTCTAAATATTGACTCCTATGTGAAAAAGAAAAAATTTTTCACAGGAAGAGAGTACAAAATTTCAGAAGTAATCAATCCTAGGCCCCATGGCCACTTTTATGCCTTATTTTTTTTTCCCCTTTTTCCTTTCAAGTGATTCTTGCCATGATTTTGTGATCAGCATAATTTTCTTATCAGCAACATCCACTTAGGTTAGCCCAACATCTGGTGAAGCCTTTCAACTTCTCAGCAAAATTGCTGTTTCCAGTCCCTTACCTGTTCTAGATAACTTACTTGGAAAAGCTCTTTTACTCTTGTAACATAGTTTAAACTCTCACAAGGAAGTCAAACTTGGACTTATTTATCCTTTCAACGTGTTTATTGGACACTGTCACACAGTGTTCTGGGAGCGGTGATAAAGCAATGAATGATATAAATGCTTGGCCTTGTGGATACTGCATTCAGGTGGGAGAAGACATTAAAAGATAATGGACATAAACATATATAGTATGTTAGATGTAATACGTGCTGTGTAAAAACAAAACAGGGTAAGGCGAATGCCAGGCAGATGGCCAGGAGTGTCGAGGGTTAGGGAGAATTTACTGCTGGATATTGGATGGGAAAAGAGGCCTCACTGATAAGGTGTTATTTGAAGAGGGGTCTGAAAAGAAGTAGGTAGCAAACTGTATATCTCATTGGTGGAACAGAGTTCCAAGGAGAACGTAACTCTTCCTGACCAGTATTGACTTTGAGAATCTGTACCATGCCCTGTTCATTTTCTCCTCACAAGTTCTTGCTCTGGTATAAAAGATTAGCTTCTGATTTGTCACTCTTTTTATTTTTTCCCCTGGAGGAGATAGGAACTTTATTGCTATGAGGTTTTGATATGATGTATGGTACTGTAAACCTCTTCCCCCATTGCCGTCCTGAAGAATATTTCCCAGCAGGAGGTGAAAGACCACTCTCTGCTTATACCCTGAACTTTAGGCACTTACTTGATAGGTTCTCCCAAACATATCTTTCCAACCAACCCAGTGCTTCAGGGCTTCTAACATGGAATAAACTTCCAGTGAAATCATTTCAAACAAAGGTTTTCAACATTGCCTGAGGACATCTTCTGATAATCTGTGTATAAGGGTCTTACTAGACATGTTGAGCATTTGGTCAGATGTGTGTGCAGTAGGCAGAATTATGTGGAAACTATTTATCAGACATATGCTATAGCAAAAACAAGGCTTTTAGTAAGGTACAGCTTCATCTTTGTAAAGCCTCCCTAGGAAGTATTTTTCTTGATCTATAGCCACCAAATTTCTAACCTGTTTCTCACATGTAAAACTTTGTATGATTCTATTTTATTTTATTTATTTGAGAGAGGGAACACAAGCAGGGGGAGTGGGAAAGGGAGAAGCAGACTTCCCGCTGAGCAGGGAGCCCGATACAGGGCTCGATCCCAGGACCCTGGGATCATGACCTGAGCTGAAGGCAGATGTGTAACAACTGAGCCACCCAGGCACCCCTAAAACTTAGTGTGATTCTAAATGGATCTAGGTTTATAGCCTTGACATCTCTGAACAAAGTGTTTATATGCCTCATCCCTAAATTCTCTTTATTCTTATAGGAGACAAGAATCTAAATGACTTGGAGACTCTTCAGGAAATTGGATTAAAGTACCTGCCACATGAAGAGCTGTTCTGCTCGCAAATCTGGCAACAGGTTACAAAGGAGTTAACCCAGTGCCAAGATTCCATGGTCAGTATTCAAGGAACTGGCTCCCAGTTGGAAAAACGAGGTGATACACTCTATAAAGATGAGGAATTTGGTAAAGGCTTTACTCAGAGTTCACATTTTCAAGTTCACCACAGAGACCACACGGGAGGAAAACCCTACAAGGGGGAGGAACGTGAGAAAGGTTTCATTCAGCACTGTCATCTTCAAACTAACCAGACAGCCCATGTAGGAGAGAAGCCCTATAAATGTGAAAAATGTGAAAACACCTTCCGTCGACTGTCAAGCCTTCAAGCCCACCAGAGGGTCCATAGCAGAGAGAAATCATACAAGTATGATACATCGTGTAAGGCTTTCAGACAGAGGTCATATCTTCGCCATCATCAGAGAGTTCCCACTGGAGAGAATCTGCACAAATCTGAGGAATGTGGGAGGAATGTTGGGAAAAGCTCACATTGTCAAGCTCCTCTGATAATCCACACATTAGAGAAACCTTATAAATGTGAGGAGTGTGGGCTGAGCTTCAGTCAGAGCTCATATCTTCAAGTGCACCAGAGAGTCCACATGGGAAAGAAGCCTTATAGGTGTGAAGAGTGTGGGAAGGGCTTCAGTTGGCGTTCGCGACTACAGGCTCATCAGCGAATCCACACTGGAGAGAAACCATACAAATGTGAGGCATGTGGCAAGGGCTTTAGTTACAGCTCGCACCTTAACATTCATTGTAGAATCCATACAGGAGAGAAACCCTATAAATGTGAAGAGTGTGGGAAAGGCTTCAGTGTAGGTTCACACCTTCAGGCCCATCAGGTAAGCCACACTGGAGAGAAACCTTACAAATGTGAGGAATGTGGGAAGGGCTTCTGTCGGGCCTCAAATCTTCTGGACCATCAGAGAGGACACACTGGTGAGAAACCATATCAGTGTGATGCATGTGGAAAGGGCTTCAGTCGTAGCTCAGATTTTAACATTCATTTTAGAGTCCATACAGGAGAGAAACCCTATAAATGTGAGGAATGTGGGAAAGGCTTCAGTCAGGCCTCAAATCTTCTGGCCCATCAAAGAGGCCACACTGGAGAAAAACCATACAAATGCGGTACATGTGGGAAGGGCTTCAGCCGGAGTTCAGATCTTAACGTTCATTGTAGAATCCACACTGGAGAGAAACCCTATAAATGCGAGAAGTGTGGTAAGGCCTTCAGCCAGTTCTCGAGTCTTCAGGTGCATCAAAGAGTCCACACAGGAGAGAAACCATATCAGTGTGCAGAGTGTGGGAAGGGCTTCAGTGTGGGTTCACAGCTTCAAGCCCACCAGAGGTGCCATACTGGGGAGAAACCATACCAGTGTGAGGAGTGTGGGAAAGGATTCTGTCGGGCATCAAATTTTCTGGCTCATCGTGGAGTCCACACAGGAGAGAAGCCATACCGGTGTGATGTGTGTGGTAAACGCTTCAGACAGAGATCCTATCTTCAAGCCCACCAAAGGGTCCACACTGGAGAGAAACCATACAGATGTGAGGAGTGTGGTAAGGTCTTCAGTTGGAGCTCATACCTTCAAGCCCATCAGAGAGTTCACACTGGAGAAAAACCATATAAATGTGAGGAGTGTGGGAAGGGCTTCAGTTGGAGCTCAAGTCTTATAATTCATCAGCGAGTGCATGCTGATGATGAGGGTGATAAGGACTTGCCCTCCCCAGAGAAGCTCAGGAAAGAAGCTCCATAAAATTATATGTTTTAATACCTCAGATGGGTGCTGAAATAGTCCAATCATCAGACCTGTCCTAGAAGACAAAGCATTTATTTATAAAAGAGTCAGTATTTAGCCAGGGCTTGACATGTCACAGTGGTTGGGTGACCACACAGCAGAGAAGCCTCATGAGAATGGCATCATAAGGACTTCATTCAGAACCTTGACATTTAGCAGATACTACACAGAGGAGAGGCTTAGGAAGGATGAATCTGATCTGAAGTTAACCGAAGGGCTGAGATGGAAGTGCCAGGATCTTTTCCACTAGAATATAAACTCCAAGAGAGTAGGGATTTGTTGACTGCCAAATCTATTCAGTCTTTTCAGTGCCTAACACATGGTAGGTGTTCAGTAATGTTAAATGAGTGAAAGGGAGAACAGTCATATATGAAATTTTTATTCAGTTCTTCTCTAAAAATTTCTATGAAATGTACTTAAAAGAGGAATTCTGTAAGGCTTGGAGGACATTTAAGTTAGACACATGGGCTCATTTTCCCAACCCTGCAGGTCCTGCGAACTAGTGTTTATCAACCTGCAATAGGTCCAAAATCACTTCAGTGGGTTGTGACCAGCATTTTTGTATGCTAATAGTTTGTTGAGGTATAATTTGCATTCAGCAACATGCATAGATCTCAAGTTTACAGCTTTATGAATTTTGACAAATGTATACACTTATGTAATCATCACCAAAATCAATGTATACAATATTTCTATTAAACCAGAATGTTTCCTTGTGTACATTTCTAGTCATTCTCACCTCCAGTGGCAACCAGTATGATTGCTATACCTCACATTAGTTAAGTCTGTTCTTTGGTTCAATGTGTGTACTCTTTCATGTCTAGATTCTCTTGATCAAGTATATGATCATTTTAGTAGATTGAGAGAAAGTAAGATTGACAAAATTCAGTGTCCATTCATGATAATTCCTCAGTGAGATGAAAGGCATCTATGAAAATTCTACAAGCTAACATTCTTTGTAAAATTATTATTAAGGAATAGCTTGTATACAGTAAAATCGACTTCGATGTATCATTCTGTGTTTTGGTAAATGCTTTCTGTTGTATTACCACCACCGTAATCAAGACGTTTAACACTTCCAAGACCCCCTGCCCTGAAATTCCTTGGACTTTTGTAGTCAACCACTCTCCCTGTCACCTCTCCCTGCCTTTGGCAGCCATCTACCTGTTTTCTGTCTGCATAGTTTACTTTTTCTGGAATGTCCTAAAATGGAGTCATATAGTATATAATCTTTCAAGTCTGGCTTCTTTCACTTTATGCTTCTGAGATTCGTCAGTCCTGATGTGTGGAACGTTAGTCATTCCTTCTATTGCTGAGTGGTATTCTGGTGTATGGATGTATCATGTTTGGTTTATCCATTTATGAATTCAAGGATATTTGAGTTTCCAGTTGTTAGTGATTATGAAGAAAACAGGGATAAATATTTGCAAAGAGGTCTGTGTGTCAACACAGGTTTTCTTTGTGTTAGTAAATACTTAAGAGTGGAGCTGTATAGTATGTTTAACTGTATGGAAAGCTAACAACTCTAAAATGGATATACCAGTTTGCATTCCCACCATCAATGCATGTCAGGGTTTTGTTTTGTTTTTACCATTTCAGTCGGTTTATAGTGGCATCTCACTTTGATTTTAATTTGCATTTCCCTAATGACTATGTTGGGCATCTTTCATATCTGAATGTATCCTGTATGTATATCTATTTTTGGGGGGGAACTGTTCTTGATTTTTGAGAGTTTATGTGTTCTGGACATATGTCCTTTGTCAGTTATGTTTTGCAAATATTTTATCTCTGTGTGTTTTGTGTTTTTATTCCGTTATCAGTATTTTTCACAGAGCAGAAATTTTGTTTTTGATGAAGTTCAGTTTTCTTCTTCCATGGATTGTGCTTTTGGTTTCAAATCTAAGAACTCTGCCCAATCCAAGGTCACAAAGATTTTTCTCCTTTTTTATCTAAAAGTTTTATGAAATGGTTTTACATTTAGGTCTATGATCCATGTGAGTTCATCTTTATAAAGTGTGAGGTAGAGGGCCATGTTTTTGGCCTGTGAACATCTGACTAACTATCCTTTTAATTTCTGCTGGCCCTTGTGGAAAATCTATTGATCAAACATGCGTGGGTCTGTTTCTGGCCTCTGCTTGGTTCCATCAGTCTATGTGTCTATTATTTTGCTAATATGTAGCCTTATATAATAAGTCTTGAAATGAGATAGTATGAGTCTCCCAACTCCATTCTTTTTCTTTTTTTTTTTAATATTTTATTTATTTATTTGAGAGAGACACAGCGAGAGAGGGAACACAAGCAGGGGGAGTGGGAAAGGGAGAAGCAGGCTTCCCGCTGAGCAGGGAGCCCGATGTGGGGCTGGATCCCAGGACCCTGGGATCATGACCTGAGCTGAAGGCAGAGGCTTAATGACTGATCCACCCAGGCCCCCCTCCATTCTTCTTTTTCAAAATATTTTGGCTATTTTAATTTGTTTACTTTTACATAATTTTTAGAATAAGTTTTGTGATTTTTAAAAATAAACTCATTGCTGGAAATTTTGTTGGGATTGCATTGAATATATATAGATGACTTTAGGTAGACTTAGCATCAAGATTGCTATCTTGAATATTCTAAGCCATAGACACAGAATATCTGCCTATTTGTTTAGGACCCCTCTAATTTCTTTAATCAGTAATTTGTAGTTTTGAGCACAGAGATTCTGCACATATTTTATTAGATTTATACCCAAGTACTCTGTGTTTTTTGGTGCTAAATTAAATGGTACCATTTTCAAATTTCAACTTCTAATTATTTATTGCTAGTATATAAAAATGCAGTTGATTGTTCTATGTATCTTATAATCTTGCCAAACTTGCATATTAGTTAAAGTTGCCGTTCTGTATAGATTCCTTGGGATTTTCTGTGTAGATAATCATGTCATCTGCAAAAAGCTTTATTTTTCCATGCCAATTGATGTACATGTTACAGCAACTTCATTGTAATGTAAGGAAGCACCCCCACCAACGTTAGGTTTGGGTGACAAAACTCATGATGGTAGTCGTTTGGGATGATCAAAGGTAGAGGAGATAGCTGTCCAGGAGAAGGCCCAGAACAGAAAGAATGGTCAGTGTTCAGGTATTTTATACAGTGGAAATCCTCCCTGAACAAGTTTAAAAAAATGGTGGGAGGTTTCACTTTGGGAGTAGTAGGTGAAGCTTACCAGAATTGTGAAGGAGGCAGTGGACATGGGCAGGAGATGAAGCTTGTAAGTTGCTGACACTAAATCACATATCCAAGTTTCTTTCCTGTGATCTTCACAATTCACTCCTGACATTTGGATTAGCATGGCAACCTCCAGGTATCCCTGTAAATAAACTGGTATTTGAGAGGGCATATTTGCAAAGTTGACCTACAATAATTAGGTCAATAATTATTATGATAGCTTTATGAAAGATAATGTGGGGCCAGATAATAAAAATCCAGGTAGAAGAAGGATCCAAGAGAAGAAATCAATGGGGGTTCAAGAAATCTCTTGGAGTATTATAATAACTTGGCAAAATCATTGACTATTTTGATTTGTTGTTTTATCTATTGAACTATTTTAGAGACTTTTACTATATTATTGACCTACATACAGCCAGAGTTTCCCTTCAAGGATCTACATTGAGATGCCAACGCAATGTCTACATCACCTACAGAACTTTCTTAATTTTTTTTAAAGATTTTATTTATTTGAGAGAGAGCACATGAGAGGGGGGAGGGTCAGAGGGAGAAGCAGTCTCCCTGCTGAGCAGGGAGCCTGATGTGGCACTTCATCCTGGGACTCCAGGATCATGACCTGAGCTGAAGGCAGTCACTTAACCCACTGAGCCACCCAGGTGCCCCTGAACTTTCTCTCATTAAAGGCTTCTAAATCTTGGGCTTTTTGATATATGTGGTCTGCCAGGAGTTGTGACATTGTTTGGCTGGCCTCTAGGTGCTAAGTCTGTGCTACAGAACTGAAAAGACCTAGACTTGTGCCTATTATACCAAAAATTGTATATATAAAATGTGGTATATAAAAAATGAGGCCGAATTTATAATAGTTTTAAAAGATAGCCTGTGTGTACTCTGTTGTGGGTACATTAGTGTATACATAAGGGGGGCATACTTTCAATAGCTGTATGTAACTGCAATTGTTAGAGGCTAGGAAGGGCAAGGGATTTGTGAAGGGAAAGATAATGAGGAAGAGCCTGGTGAGGTTCAGGAAGTGCTGGGTTCCCCCAGCACTTCCTTTACTTCCGTAAAGGAACTGGAGGGTGACCAAAGAGGATAGTGAGTGGTTAATACGGATAGCAGAGACCTCCAAGGGGGTGGGAATTAGTTGTATAAGTGGTTACCCCAGCTGGGGTGCCTGGTCCAGGATTGTTGGAGTTTTATCTTTTGGGTAGCATCTTAACTTTTATAGCTCTTATCCAGCAAGTGGAGGAAAGTAGGAAGTGGTGTGGTGATGTGGGAATAATGGAGAGTGTAGCATGGATTGTTGAACAAAAGGATTGGAGCTGATGTGGTTGTGGTGGTCATAGTGGGGAGTGGTGTGGGAGCAGTTACCATGTCCAGGTCCCAGCTGTTAAGCATGGAAGGAGGTGGAGTTTTAGACTTGTATAGGGCTAATTTCACCCAAAGCCGAAATTAAGTGGTGAGGCATTTGCAGGGTGCTATCTTGCAACAAAAGGGCAACACAGGAAGAAGGAAAAGAATGGTTCAAGCACAAATTTAAAAATTTACTTTGTGTTCCTTGATGCATTGGAGTAGGTGATAGGCAATAGTAGGTCCCCATGTGCTTCATTAGGACCTGGGTGTGTTTAGGTAGGTAAGGGCCTGGCAATAAGCTTTAGTTTCTTGCAGTGTGCCTACATTGTATAAAGGAGGAGAATATGGAGGTTGCAGAGATATACATAAGCAGAGAAATCGGGAGCTTCAGTTAA